TTGTTTTAAACCTGAAAAATTGGAGATATTTCAAACTCGAAAACTTCGGAGAAATTTTTTTTTATTCAAATTTAAAGAGTTCCGAGATTTTTGAGGTTTTTTTTCATGGAAAAAGGGATTGGCCGCTTTTGTAGTTGTAGTTTTAGAAATTAAATTTCAAGATACATATACTATATAATTTTCAGCATTTTTTATTAGATTTACACAAATTTCTGTAATCTTAATAATATTGCTAGAATAGGAATACCACACCCAATTTTTTAAGCTGGTATTTTTTCAATTATATATGCATGTTTATCGTTAGTATAATATAGACTGTTGTTTCACTGAATACGTACAACATATGTACATTAAGGTGCATCACTCGCCATAGAAAAAAAAATTGGTAGTGTTTATCATCGGAATTATAGCATCTAATTATTAAATTATAAGACAGCCGCTAAAATATTTCGAAAAAATATTATGCTTTGCCCTGGATTAATTTGAAAATACCGAAAAATATTAGACTTTTTTAAGAATAAAATTAGGTCTTAAACTTTTTTTCCGAAAAACTCATCTCAGATAATAGCTGAAATTTAAGCTTCAAGGTCTGCATACAAATTTTTAAGAATTTTATTTACGGAATCAAAATGTACAGATTTTTGGAGGTATGTATGTTTTTCCAAATCGCACCAGCTCACACAAATCTTAAAATTTTTCCTAAATAGTTTGGTTGAAGTTTTAAAAAATATTAGATTTTATAATTCCGGCACAGTAACATTTTTTGGTGAGGCACCCTAATGCATGTTCATAAAAACATGGCCGATTCTATAGGAACTTAAAAATATAATAATTAATGTAACGCTACAAACCCCAAAAACGCAAGGGCAACGTTACAAAAATTTAAATTTATAATAGGGTGGTTCAAAAAGGCACGTAAAAAAGTAAAATATGAATTTTAAAGCTCTCACTCCCTAGGGTTGTTCTATACCGAAAAAAACACACACCTATTTTTTCGAGATCAGAAAATATTTAGAGGTCGCTATGAGGAAAAAAGAAGTTTTTGTGGAAACGGCTCAAAAGCGTTGAGGGAATAGTATCCAATTGTTTATTAAAAATTTTTTTAGTACTAACGATTTTTGTTGGATCCCTTCATTGCATTTGTTGGGGTTTTTCGGGGACCTATAAAAATTAGTTAGTATTAAGAAATGGTTAAATAAACAATTATGTATTATTATTGGAAGTCTCCTAAAGCGAAACAGTGGTTTCCGACCGAAAAATATTGATTTTTAAAGAATTCTACACCATTTACCCTAAATGAAATATGTACATGGAAAACTTTGAGCGCTTTGAGCGACCTGTAAATATTTTTTTGATTTCGGAATAAAAATACAGGGATAGGTTTTTCTACATAAAGAACAATCCTGGGTGGTGAGAGCATTAAAATTTCGACTTTAATCAAAATTGGACCACCCTAATGTACATACGTACATATGAATGTATGTATGTGTAAAGGTTACTTATGCGTTTTCTGGTTTTAACAAAGGCACTATTATCACTGTATTTTACTGTAAAACCTCCATCACCCTGTATAATTTCTAATTCTATCTAATTTAATCGCTTATAATATATGTATGTATAGGTACCCAATACACATGCTTGTTTAGTGTTTTATTTAATTTCCAAACAACAAAGAACCCATTAACGCATTTCTTTAGCATTTTAATTTAATAAAGTACAAATGGTAATCTATTCCCCTATCCATAAGTTTTTAAGTACATTTGGCTGCATCCGAAACCATATTTTACGTATGTATGCATACATATATGTACTTTAATTTTATTGTTTTTACATTTTACTCCTGAGTACTCACATCAATACAAGCGCACTGACTTTCGTCAAATATTGTGCCAGTCGTACAGGATTGGCTATCACGGCAGACACATCGGCAAGTTGTTTCATCCCAGTATTTGTGCTCTTGCTGGAATAATTAAAACACAAAAAAAAAAATCAAATGAATTTTCAATGTTAAAATGTGTTATTGTAGTTTTATAAAATTTTAGTGCGACTGAATTAAACTGTACGGGATTAATTAAATTTAATTACATAATTACTTAATTCAAAATAAATTTCAATTTAGGAAATTAAATTTTATTAAGTCAATGAATTAAATTATTAAAATTAATTAATGAAGATTTTAAAGTTAATTGAATTTCATCTAATTGTTTTAACTTAACTTAACTTAACTGAACTTGCCGTTAATTTATCTTAACTTAACTTACTTTAATAAACATTTAATATTTATTATGGCGTTTCCGAAAAATGTTACTGTAGAAAGTCTTACTAGTCTCTAAAGCTTAATTAATTAAACAATTTTATTTCCTCTCATATACATCATCCTTACCGATAAACATTTTTGCAGCGCATCCTCATTCGTACACACACAACTGCACATGTCACGACGATAAATTTGGTATGAATTGCAATCCTATAAAAAAGAGTACATATTAAGTAAGTAAATCATATCACATCATATTCCATATGTATGTATGTATGTATGTATGTTTTTTATTTGCTCCACCCTCTTCAAAAGCATTGCATGCAAGACACACCCAATATCCATAAAAAGCAAAGGCTAACAAAACAAAACGAAAAAAGCGACCATACCCGCCTACCTACCTCCGCCTTGATGCGACAGTCACACTGACACCTTGTATGCTGCTCCACCACAACGATCTCCTTGCCACGTATGCGCGTACTGTCGCCATGGTAAATTTTGGTCACCTGAAATGTAATGAGACTGTGTAGGTTTTCAAAGCGTTTTGTTTTGTTTTATGCTTGAAACCGCCAAAACTTCAAAAGCAAAAACACACCTCAAAGTTGATTGTCTCGGTTTCGGTGGGTTGACACGACATCAGCTGCGAACCACAGCAGCCGCCACACCGTTTCACGCGCGTACATTTCGGAAAGTAGACGACTTTGGGATCACGTGACGGTTCGAGTGGTGTGAGCGGTACAACGGTGCTCTCGGGTATACAATTAGCTGCCTTGGGTATTTGTACATTTGCTGTAGTAGGTATAAAAAAAAAAGAGAAACGTGAAACGAGAAAATGGGTTAGAATCTTTGATTCTGATGAGTATACCGTATTGGCTTACCGCGTTCTACACTGCGTCTGAAGGTTCCTAAAAAAAAAAGAGTTGAAAAAAATAAAATAAATACAAAATTAATTTGCTAGTTAGCATAACTTCAGTCAGCTTTAAATATAAAATTATGTGTACTAGTAATTTTAGCAATTGATCTATGTGACGTATCTACGCTTTCCCACATTTGACGCCCGCTTGAGCGACAACAATGTCGTCCTCAACGTGCTTTGATTCGCAAATTAATTAACGTTGCTCGTCATGTTCACATACATATTTTCCTTTATTGTGGTTTTCGATTTTTTAATACAATATATATGTACGTATTCTGAATTTTGGGATTTCACGTTGAGTGAGCGACAACGAGTGGTTTTATCAGTGACTTCATTGCTAGCGAAGTGACAAATTTATGTAAATACAATATTTTTATTATTTATTTACCTTGTAAGCCTAATTTTGGATCAATTGTGTCCCTTTCGACGAAACGTTCTATGAATTCCGTTACGTCTGTCACGTTATCCAGTTCTTTGTAGAAGTTCATAAGTTCCTAAAAGAGAAACAAATATGCATTATTAAAAAATCATTTGTAAAAAAAAAACTGATAATAAGCAAAAAGAGTACATGAACTTTTACTAGAATAAGCCTCTCCAAACTTTTATAGGACGTATTTTATTAGGTTACAGAGTTGTATTTTGTCAACACTTAAAATTGGTAACGAAAAAGTCGCGTGTGTTAATATTTCAGTTTTAAATTTTGTACGAAAATTAGAGAAATTAAACAAAGCTTCATCGAAATTCCAACGTTTTTAATTTTTATATCTGAGGCTCTTTTAATTTTTATGGCTTATTAAATTTCAGTATAAAAAATCGCAAGTTTAAAATCGCTAAAAATCCCCTTGATTTTTGATAACTTATTTTCCTGACGGCGCGCCGCGGCGCACAGTGTTTCGACCGTATGGAAGCAGGTGGCAAAAAGTAGATTAAAAAACCGGTTGGGCTTAGAGAGGAAAAAGTAAAAGTCATAGATACAAAATTTCACATCATTTACTCCAAGATGAAATTTCTATAAACAAGATTTTAGTGATTCACAAAGTTGTCATAACTATGAGTAGTCATGTTGTCATAATGTCATAAATTTTTTAATGGCTAAAAAGCAGAGACATTACTATTATAAGAGAAAAGAATAAAAGTCAATCAATAATCATTATATAAAGATGAATTTTTTTCGAGCTATCTATAATTATTATTCAAGGACTTATATTATAAAAGTCCTTTGATAATACTTATCAGAAAGATAATTATTTTCAAGTCTTCAAAGACTTTTATTTTAAGACTTATATTATAAAAGTTTTTGATAATAGTTATGAGCGCGAAAAAAATGTTTAAGTCTTAAAAGACGGAACTTATTCAGGAGCATTTCAGGCTTAGTTGGGGACCAATTCGGGTCTAGGAGGGGCCCAGTTGGGGAGCAGTTTGGGACAATTTGAGGCTTGGTTTGGGACCCGTTCGGGACTATATACGAAATTTTTTCGCTCTCATAACTATTATCAAAAGACTTTTATAAAATAAGTATCAAAATAAAAGCCGTTGAAAATAAAAGTCTTTGAATACTTAAAAATATTTATCTCGCTGACAATTATTATGAAAATACTTCTACAAGCCTTAAAATAATAGTTATCCATGACTTAAAAAAATTTTCTCATACATAATTATTATTAAAATACTTTTATAATTCTTATGAAAATTTGGATAACTTTTTAAAAACTCCACCACGAAATTTAGTTGAGTGTGTAGAGATGCGTTCTATACATAAACATATACATACATATATGTAGTATATACATACATACATAAATACGTATTTTTGCTTTAACTGTAATAATTACATTAACGCACGAACGTTACACCCTTTTTCTAGTCTATATTAGAATTAATAACTCATAGGCTGTGTGAATACCCATTTCTGCTTTTTTTTGTGATGTACCTATACTCTATCGCCATTTAAAATCTATTAAATCACAGATAATTTTTTAAGATGTAAACTACATAAATAAATATAATTTAATCTTAATTAGTTACTTATGTATGTATGTATGCAGAATGTACGGCAAAGAAATTATAGTTATTTAAAACAAAAATGACGGACTTGTAGCAAGCAACGTGTGATTATAAAAATTAATTACGATAATTTTAAATTGATTTGTTTTATATTAATGCTATAGTTGTTTGTACATACACACATACATATGTGTGCGCATACATTGACATTTTGACGATTTGTGCCTTGTTAAAAAAATATGCATATTTATGATTATATGAATACGCGAATGTCTCATGTTGCTGTGTTGTTGTAATGAGACACCCGGCTGCAACTTTTGTTGATTTTAACGCATTTTTTGTCTTAAATTAGCTACCGGTCGAGTTAATAAACTCCGGGCTGGCGTATTTGCCGAGTGACTCATCATGACATTCCATATAAACGACAATCGAAATGTGCTTAAGTAAACAACGGCATCACTTTGCTCAAACCGGTAACCAGTTAGTTGCTAATCTTGATTTTTGACCAAGTTCGCACGCGTCGCTTATCCCTAAGTATGGTCTATATACAATATGGGTACAGACAAAATCGTTAATACATATCTATGTATAAGCGTGTGTACAGATTTAGTCGAGCAGGTGTTTAGTACATAACGGTACAACTAAAGTTCAAACTTAACATTTTTTTTTTTCATTTCATTCTTGCAAAATATTTTCTGCAACTACAAAATATACGAGTAAGTTTTTATTTTTATTTAACTCATTGCGGAATTTGCCATCACAGCGATTTCAGTTTGCTCAAGCGGACGGAAATCGCCGATGACGCGTTCTTTGCCATTCACCGCAATGTCAAAGCAAAAAGATAAAAAAAAAAATGTACACAGAGCGGGCGGTTGTAATGAGCACCGTTATCTGTGTACATACATACCTCTGAATTGTCGGTAATTAAATATACATGCAAATATAGTTATTACCTGTCCGCATGTGCTTCTTGACTCTAACTACTAAATGACTGGGTGTAATTTTTTAAATTTACTGGTTAACACCTTCGCCTGCAGTTGAACATTACACACGTTTTTTTT